CGAATAATATCAAATTGAAAAAAAGATTTTTTTTTACTGTTTCTAATTTGCAAGAAGTGCCAACAGCATGCACTGTGTTAGCTGTTACCCATTGAAGATAACTAACGTTTGGGTCAATCTATGTAAGATTTTAATCCATCACATAAATAGAGCATAGAATGTTGTACCGGATTATGATTCGATGTTAGTTTATTTGTTATGGATATGTGAAACAAAAAAAACAGCACTAATTACTTGTTTAAGGAAGTGTTAAGCACAATTCACAGTCATCTATGAAACCTTGTCTTACATGATTCTGAGGATTAAATTCTATTCCAGACGTTATTATTCATGTAAATAAAATTTTGTAAAATGTGAGACTAACTTACATAAGAAGCATACTTAATCAAGGTATAAAGGATAAATACTTTTAAAAATAACCAGTATGTTTCATAGTTCGAAGGACGTCACCGACCACCGAAACCAGGTTTCATTTAAGACGGGACTTATTTCGAGGAAGTGCATGCAATCTTAGTTAAAATTAAACAAAACAATAAAATTATTCAGTCCGCTTTTAAAATCCTTCGAGTTATTACAATGTAAAGTTACCACTAATGTTTTAATGAGTTATTCTTTGTAAAACATGATGAAACTGATTAAATAAATAAATAAAATAATATTTACAACTAACTAGAGTTTGAAGAAAATATTCAAATTGATGTTTATATCACAGACTGACTTCAGTTGATGAACCAATGGGAGTTAGAAAGCAGTGAACATATGTTACATTTTAATTCCAGACATCTTAACAGTGTACATTTAAAACGATATATAAAGGATCAAACTCAAAACTCTACTACCGACTCAATATCAAAGGGTAAGAATTTCATTTCCAGTTAATTGGAGATGTCTCGCGATTGTAGTAGGAATTTGTACAGTCACTGCTTCAATATATATATATATATATATATATATATATATATATATATATATATATTGAAGCAGTGACTGTACAAATTCCTACTACAATCGCGAGACATCTCCAATTAACTGGAAATGAAATTCTTACCCTTTGATATTGAGTCGGTAGTAGAGTTTTGAGTTTGATCCTTTATATATCGTTTTAAATGTACACTGTTAAGATGTCTGGAATTAAAATGTAACATATGTTCACTGCTTTCTAACTCCCATTGGTTCATCAACTGAAGTCAGTCTGTGATATAAACATCAATTTGAATATTTTCTTCAAACTCTAGTTAGTTGTAAATATTATTTTATTTATTTATTTAATCAGTTTCATCATGTTTTACAAAGAATAACTCATTAAAACATTAGTGGTAACGTTACATTGTAATAACTCGAAGGATTTTAAAAGCGGACTGAATAATTTTATTGTTTTGTTTAATTTTAACTAAGATTGCATGCACTTCTAGTGCACAAGTTATTGTAGTTTCTAAAGTATCACTATTTACCTTATTTTTACTACTCATTAATTTCCAGAACATTCCGTCGTAAACAAGTTATCTTTTCAAATACATTATTCCGATGTGTTTGTTATCATCCAACAGAATGTCAAATTATTACATCTGGTACAGATAGAAAAATAGGTTATTGGGAGGTATACGATGGTTCATTAATAAGACAATTAGATGGTTCACGAACAGGCTCAATTAATGGCATGGACATTACAGATGATGGTAACACATTCGTTACAGGTGGAAATGATAAACTTGTCAAGGTAAGAAATATTTATAATTTTGCGGAAAAAAAAGATGACAATAAATGTTACTACAGTGATAGTATGCTTTAGAAAAGTAAATAAACAAAGTAGTTATTTGTTAGTCAATAATAATGTATACAGCTAACTTCTCAGTTTACGTAGACATGAATCTACCTGAAGTAGAAATCATAGAGGCAGGAAGAATAATTACATAACCAAAAACAATAAACCTCTTTGACAAATTTATGCACCAGAACACCATCTCATCTTGACAATATAAACACATAATAACATTAAATGCAGAGATGGATAGTGGCTAGCAGTGGAATCCAGGATGCGCGTTTCGTCCTATTTGGGACTCGTCAGCTGTACGTACTTGCATCTTTGCATATAATGCTTGTGAATTATGGCTATATCGAGGCAACACGCACATATGCCAATAAGATACTGACCATTTGCAGTCCTAAATATCAACGGGAAGATTAAAAAAAACAATACCAAGTGAACATAATAGCATTATTAGATTTTAACTGAAAGCTGTCAGAATATATCTATTCGTTCGGTGGTCGATTTAACGAAACCAACAGACGTATGCAGATAATTTATGAGTAGACATTTAATAAAAAGTTTGACTTTTTGATAAGCTCAATGTCTTATCACAGCAACTTGTGGAAAATAACACAAAAGTAGTAATAAGCGTGATTTTTGTAAGCGATTGTAACTAGATTTTAAGTGAATATGTTTGACTACATATTTTTTAAATGCCAGTCAGCGTTTGTTCTTAACAGATTGTTTATAAGATGTGAGTGTATTTCTTTGACCAATAAATCCAAACTGTCTTTTATTTTATGAAAATCAAAATAATTTGCTTACCACACAAGACTGGGTAATAGAATATGGTAGTTGCCTACGCTTTAGTTCTCATTACATGTCGATTATCATGCTTACCAACATCTTCGAATTGTTTACATGAGTAATTTCTAATTATTACCCAATCAATTGCTGAATGCATATAACATTATTTGTTGTTCAGTATGGTGAAGACATCATGTATAATACTGGTAAGTGAATACATGAGTAGACAGAGTATAATCGGAATGACCATGAAGTGTTATTTCGTATTGAGTAATATAAGTGTAGAATTTCCAATGCAGAAGACATTGTGATGAGGCGTGCGACACACCATTGTACAAGATACAATTCAACTGGAATCGATTGAGGAGTTATAACATAACTATTCAAATACTGAATAATAATCCTTTACAGTGGTTGTACATAAGATAGTTTGCCTCTACTTGAAGGAAAACTACCAAATTAATGGTTTTTGGAGTAAGATTTTGATAGTATTCTTTCCCTTATAGTGTTAAATATATACTAATTATGACAAGAATGTAAATCTTCATATTTTTCGAGGGTAACCTGTTTAAAGGCTAAAGGGTTCGTTTATTGCAGAAAGGAATCGCAGAAATAACGTATGATTTGATAAACAGCTGTCAGACATACAAGTTACTTTACGACGTTGCAGTTTGCAACTATAAACCAATTATTTAACGCCTTACCTTTAAGACGTACATAGTCCATCAGTTAAATCATATTTTAAAAAGCAAATATATTAATCATTGACATAAATCTACAATTCAGGTCTGGAAGTACAATGAAGGTGAAATAACCCATGTAGGGCTGGGACATACATCACCAATAACAAGATTACATATATCACCAGATCAAAAAAGCATTGTGACGGTCAGCGAAGATGGAGCTATTTACATTTGGGAAATGCCAATGATAATTGAGACAAACTAGACTTTATCAAGAGGAAATAACTTGATGAACTATGGAGTACATGCACTAAAGAACTCATTTTAGTCTATCATAACACACAGCTTGATTGCATTGCTCTGAATATTTATCTTTCTATTTACAAACATATCTATAATACTGCTCACGAACATTATAGGCAAATTCTATGCATATAGGAATTTTTAAAAATCAATTGCGCATTAAAATAAACAATTTAATGAATAATTCTTTGTGATTTTACCTAAAAAGGTGTACGAAATAACTAGTGTAGTGAAAGGTTTGTTCGTAACCTTAAACAGAATAATCTGCGATTAGTTAAATAGGGTATACTGAGTGAAAGATTACTTATTTAGTATACAGTTAATGCCCTGGTACGGCCGAGGGTAGGGAGGGTCCGCTCTCCCTCTGGAAATACTCTCACACGGTCACGCGTATATAGCCTCTGACAAGGAAGTCCTACTCACTGCCTTCTCGTGGCGGGGGTGTTGTTTACGAAAATGAGAGGACGAAAAGCGAATGTCCGGCGCTTTAACCGGATTCCAAACCAATGGTGCACATGGGCTCCAGTATCCTGCGGGAACAAATGGCGAATGAACCAATTGTTGGTCACCGGCTTCCATGGGACTGCATCTCCTTACGATGCTCCACTGCCTTGTGGATCAGACCTTCAGGTCGAAGGCTCGGGGTGTGGCCCCCTAAGAAAACCACCTGCTTCGGTATGGGCACCCGGGCAGTATCACAGCCCTCACACACATATCGAATGAGATTTGTGTGGCGCATATGTATTTGGTGCCTCTTTGTACCATTATCTATGTGTTGAAATAAATAAATTATATTCGATCATTTTGACTATATTCTCATGAAAAAGCTTAGATCAGATTGCCGAACGAAATGTTGGATTTACTTGAAATTCAATCGTTGAGATTTTATATGTTCTTTCTCCTTAATGTCTTACATGAAATTGGCGCCCAATTACTGTGAAACTGTTAGTTTAAATTTAGATGAAAGTTCTTATATATACTGACAATATGGTGTGATATTTTTAGGTGTACAAATGGGAATTACTGTCAATAAGGAATTAAAACTTGAGCTTTACACAAGTGTTATAATGTAGAACGATGGACGATTTAAAAAAATTATATACATTAAAGATAAGGAGGAAAATGAAACATAAAGGAATTGAAGAAAACTTGGATTACGATAATGAAAGCAATTGGATTGTTTCTGTACATAAATAGTTGACTTAAGATTATGTTAAACTAACGCTTCCATAATGAATAGGTTCAATTTAACTATACACAACACAAAGACAAATAACCATTCAGTCGTAATCAACATAAATCATAATACTAAAATAGAGAGGAGCTGCGAAAATATTGGTTTAATGTATGCTCTGAGTGTAAATGCATACGTTCATGTAATATAATACAAAGTATAGAGAATGAAACGTTACAATGATAAAACAGGATGTTATTCAGAAACACTGTTACATAAAAAGTTAGTCGTAATGTATTGATAGTTAAGAGACAAAAGGGATATGAACTTTTCTCAAAACATAAAAGTGTTTATATTTTATTTTACTTGGATAGAAATATTAGATAATAATTCATGGGGTTTAGCATATTTGCATGTTGAAAATCATAATAAGTCAGTTTAACCAAGTAATTGATGCAAAAAACATTATATTTCAAATAACAGAATCCTGAGGTGTGAATGATTGTATACGAAAAGTTGTAGCGAAATTTGCATATTGACTGGTTAAAGTAAAAGATCAATCTAGTTTGTAAGTAACTCAAATAGAATAAGGGGAAAATTTGCATATATTATTGATTACACTGATGTAAGCTTAGATCTCTCACTGAACTTCGCTCGATTTTATAAATCATACTGAAGTATGAATCCGACCGATAGCTTGCAATGATCGATATGGTGTAGTCCAATAGATTTTATTCGAGATCATGAACTGACCAATTTTAGACCACCATTGGAAACCTAATAGCACTGGAAGACCGTTTTGTTTTAGTATAGGACTCTTCATTGGCGTGTAACCACGATCCCGTGAGCAGGACTTGTACCCAGTATCTTCGGTCACGCGCGAACACTTGGCCTCTAAACCAATGGTGTTAATGTCTGACTTCATCCAACCCACGATATTGCTCGACCAATTCAGCAATCTCCACAACTCTATACTGACAATAGATTTTACGATTCATCGGACTGCTTTTTAAGACGTCAATAAATTTTATCACACCTGTCAAAGACCATAAAATTAAGTAACTACACCGGTAGCTTATCCTTTACTCACAAATGTGCCAAAAGTTTTTTAATTTAGGATACTTGTAGTTAGAATGCGTATAATGCTTGAAGCAACAGTTAAGAACCTCATCAGTTACATTAACTTCAAACCTCAGAATAATATGCACAAAAATATATTTATAAGGTACATAAACAATGTTTAAATAGCTGTTACGTGTTCAATATTTCTATTTGTACAACATAAGGGATACAAATTATCCATCGCATTGACTTAACGAGTCAAAAAACTTTTTCTGAGTAAGATTCTATAATTCATTAAGTGAAAGTAGGGATTACAAATTTCTTCAGTCTAATAAAGCAAAGTTTGTATGTGAATTTCTATACACATGAAACTTTTGGATATACGCTTTTCCTCCAGCCAACTTAAATAGATAATTTTCAGTATGGGAATTTTTAGCGATTGCAGTATTTTCACGGTTGAATTCACGAGTCAATCTAAGCTAGATCATCATTGGGAACCTGGAAGCACTGGACAGCCGTTTCGTCCCAGTATATGACTCCTCAGTAGTGTGCATCCACAATCCCACACGCGGAACTCGAACTCAGGACTCGTAGTGGTATAGCTCGTAAATTCAACTGTGGAGATAGCCTTCATCTGCTGAATGATCTGTATTTGAAAATCAACACAATAATTCATAAAAGGTTTTATATTTCATCATCAAAATTGATAACAAGTGAGGGAGAGGTATACAAATTAAATGAGAGTAAAATTTATTCATGCACTCTCATGTAATCAATCAAACGTATATAGTATAACTAGTAAACAAAACCCAAAAATAAGCAGTACAAGAGACCATACTACTCACTAAGGTGACAGATAAGACAAAGTAGCTAGAAATTAAGAATTATTCAGATCAGAATAGTAGTATCGATATTTCAGTAATTATGTGATCATTTTATATCACAAATATATATCTATTAACTAATGAAAAACAAGAAAACTAAACAGAGCCGATGAAGATTATCGGACGACAGTTTAAACAATAGTTTTGTAATAATAGTAATAATAACAATAACGGTAATTGTTATTGATAATATCAAAATTTCCTACTTTAATATTGTTTTACTACTAACTATCAAGAAATTGATTAAATCAAATATAAATATTAAATTTATTCATTAAAATTTTCATTATAATTACGACTGAATTCACTAAGATTATCCAGTTGTTTTCTTTATTTTTTCTGTGTGGCAAACACGATTTTACTTTCGATGATTTTTAATAAATGCAATTAATCCATTTGTTGAAGAGTCATGACTAGTAACCAGCTCATTGGTAGTTAATTCTGGTTGAATTTTCTTGGCTAACACTTTTCCAAGCTCCACACTTTTATGATACATAAAAGAGAAAGGAAATTGTTTTTAATTGTAATATTTGAAATTTATTAGAAGTCTACATACACATATGATTATCGAAGTATAATAAATAAACTTAAAGTAAAATAATCATTGTGATTATCTAGAAGCATCCAGGCATATTTGAAGTAATAACAATGCGTACAGTGTTCACTAGTGTAAGTATTAACAGTTGTTGATGGTTGTGAATAAAAAATTCCAGTGTTTAATCATTTGATTAATTACCAGTATTGGGTTGTGGAGATTACTAGGTTTTAATTAAGATCATGAACTGATCAATGTTAGAGCACCATTGAAAACCTGGAATCACTGAACGACCGAGTATGGGACTCCTTGGTAGTGAGCATCCACAATTCGGAGCTCGAACACAGGACCTTCGGTCTCGCGCGCGGACGCTTAACTTCTAGATCACTGAACCGGTACCCAACGGTATTAATGCTGGACTTCATCCAATACATGATATTGCGCGACCGAGGGTCATGAGTTCGAATCTCGCGTGCAGGATCGTGGATGCGCACGGCTGAGTCTCGTGCTAAGATAAAACGACCGCCTAGCGTTATTAGGTTTTTAATTGTAGTCTAAAATTGATCGATTCATGATTTCGTTTGATTTATATTGAGATATGTAAGTATGTATGTATAGTACAGTCCACTTATAAGTAAGATTAATCACAAAGCAGTGAATTTATATGACCTTTTTTAGTGCAACAGAAAAATGGGGCACATTTTTGAATTATAAGTGCAGTCTTTATTTTTTGGTTTGCGTTTTACAAGAACTATTCATATATATGAATATTCCTCAATATTTGAACGAATAGTTTAATAGAAGCTAAGCTCTGAGGTTGTAGGAGACATTATGTGCAAAATTGTATTTGAAATAATCGTAGCGAATAAAATTTAATGAACCGTTCGTAAATCCTCGATTGACCTTAAAAAAGTTGGAAGAAATTAGGAATGGCGATAGATCAACTAGAAACGGGACGAAAAGTCAACTTTGAAGGGATCAGAATAGTTGAAGTATTTCATAAGGTTTAGTACTCGTAAAGAAAAAGCACTGTCTATACGAGCTAATCAGAAAAGTCTGAACAGAAATGGATGGAATTCAACTAACCTACCTTAGCAAACGCATATGAAAAAGTAATTTGCACCTTAACTATATGCTAAGCTTTATCCCTAAAAACAACTGATTTCAATGTCTAAACATCGCAGTTATGCATTTCTCCTTTCTCATTTTAGCTATAGTTTGACGCTTTAACATACTATTCAATCTCTACTATTATTTTTATTTTTGATAAACAAAACTTTGGTATTAGACAGAATGGAATTCTTCACTGAATTTTAACATAAATGTGCGCATACGTACGTATTCATCCATTTTCGCATTACTCCCATCTTATGGACTCATGTTTCTCAACTAAAAAAAATCGGTGTCTGAATATAATCAGATAAGGTTTTAGTGTAGATTTGCTCATTAAACTTTATATTCTTCAACAATCTCGATTATTATGGTGAAGAAGTCAAGACAAAATTATTGAACGAAGTGTCGGAATTATTTAAATTTTAATCGCTGCGATTATTTCAAATACGATTTTTACTGTGTACTGGGATAGTTTTTTTCGATGGACAATCTTTATTTGCGACTGTCATATGACGAAGTAAGAATTATGGAAAAGTTAATGACCTATGGATATCATATGTTGTAATCGTTTATTTATTAAATGACGTCTAATCCTGTTTATTCTTGAGTTCAGTTCTTTGCAGATAAACGCGTTATTCAAGGAAAAATGCCCGACTCCAGTAGGGAGTTGAATTGGCGGCTTGTGTCAATAGTTTAATGACGTCAGCAGCCATCGATTAGCATTCTTCTCTTGAATTTGTTGATGAAACCACGATTCATCACACTATTTATTTTCATTTGTTTGTCTTTATATCGAATAACCCGCCTAATTATGCTATGAATAATTATTAGCATATACATACATCGATTTACGGTAGTCAATACAACTTTATTTATGGTTATCCACGATGGCTGAAAACAAGAAACAATATGAAGACGATATTTTATTGTTTTGTAGTGGGTCGATTTACGAATATCAAATAGTTATTGATGATGCTACTCATTTCTTAAGTACAGATTCGTGTACTCAACTTTCAGTAACACTTTTTATGTGAGTGCTAATGATAACATTCAACTGCCCAAGCCGAAGTAGGCTGGGTGGGACTCAATCTTGCGACCTAGTACTTGAATGTCAGACATCATAAATAAGACATTGTGCCATACTATTATCCAGTTAAGTGTAATTCAAAACAAACATATCACATAAATCAACACAATATACATAGATAAAGTTATAACTTACCCCCATTGATCAAAGGAATTAATATTCCATATAATTCCTTGAACAAATATCTTATGTTCATACATAGCAATCAAAGCGCCCAAAATATATGGTGTCAATTTGGTGAACACAATGGAATTAGATGGACGATTACCCTTGAAACTTTTATGCAATGCAAGTGAATTTAATAAGTCGCCAGTAACTCCAGCAGCAAACAATTCCTTATGAACTTCTTCTTTTGTTTTACCAGTCATTAAAGCTTCAGTTTGAGCCAAAAAGTTAGATAGGAGAATCTAAATAAGTAGATAGAATAAAGAATTCTTTAGAAAATACTTAGGAATGTTGGTAGGCGAATTAATTGACATAATACAATTATCGTCAATCACAAAGAGAGTTAAAACATTATATGAAATCAAACGTTTCAATAACTACAAAGAGGAATCAAACAAAACAGAATTTGAGGATAGACAATTATTATGTATAGATCTTTTGAGGTTAGCATGTTTAAAGTCTAAATATATGTTTGTTGTGTATATGTATAGCTTACATGAATGTCCTTATTTTTGTTAAAGCGCAATACCTTAAAAAACTACTGGTAATGCGATCAGATCAACATTAGTTTGACAGATAAGATTCATAATTCTAACGACAACTGTTCTAGACAATGAATGGAGACAAATTCCTTTTTCTTGCAGTAGTCCAGAGGAATTTTTAAGGCATGTTGTGTTCTATATGCTGGATGATTTAATCATGAAATCTTCATATTCTTTATCTGACATAGGAACACAAATAAACAAATAAAAAATAGCTGGTGAAAACATGAGAAATTCTATAAAACTAGGTACAAATTTTTGAGGGCAATGACTGCTCCCCACACGTTAGTTTTACAACAGAACATGAAAACAAAACATTTAGAGGGCTTAGTGTAATAATAATGTTATCGTAATGTAATGATATCATAATAATGTTTGAAAAAGATCATGTAGTATAGAAAAAGTATCGATGTTTCTAATCGTCCTTTAGGACTAATTGTTTCTTGTTATTAACCTTAGACTGATTACATAAATAAAATCTGCGATTGGAAATGTATTGCACAAATAACTTTAAATTTCTTGAAACCAACTCTATCTGCTGATTGCACATTGGTAATTAATAAAAAGGCACTGATGTCGTGAACATTTTTCTGTTTGATATAAATCGAAAGTTTTTTATTAATTTCGAATGGCATTTACAAAGTGAATACATTTTGAACTTAGTTGAATTAAAAGACTTTTAGTACAGAAAGACAAAACAACTGCTTCAATGTACAAAAAGCATGGGAAACCCAAGAAACATCAGCCCATGAAGTGATCGTCTGTTGGCTTAAGTCAAGTTGGTTGATGCAGACTAGTCGATTGAAGTTCTTGCGATAACAGCGATCAGTTGTTGGAGGTGTTGGGTGACATGATACAGATCTAATCCTTCCTTATATTTGTTTAGACCATGATATTCGGTATTCATATACACAAAGTCTTTTTCAGTTATTAGTCTTGCACATTATCAATGCAACTAGATCATTTGGACTCATTTGCTGTTCATTATGTTAATATTTTTTATGTCGTCCTGATGTGGTATGATAACTTAGGCTAAAGTATATTTGCTGCGGATTCTACATTGCTTATTGTTATATCCTAGTGAAGATTAAATTACGAGTAAATTCTGAGAACTATTAATGGACTAATATTTTATATACATTGTTATTGTATAACTATTCAGTAACTAGACTGTGTATATCTGCATCCCTCTTATAAACTTCATTTTCACCTATAAATTATTATTGTACGATTTACTGTACTTAAGTTATGTTCAGTTTATTGATTACTGTCTCCCACGCTCATAGCCACTTTTGGCTTTATTTTGTATAGATGTTATTTCCTATTTTATGGTGTGAAGCGGTCTGTTTGACTGGTATATAAACCAAGTATGTTTGAAATAAAGGGTTCGCATAGCGGAAGCTATTATTGGTGTTCTGGATTCAACTGGACGGTCTAGGAAAGCAAAGGATCAGTAAGGACGCTAAGCTGATCAGACCGGTCGAACGTCGTTAGTTTAGTACAGTGCAAAAGTCAATAGGTCGTATTTTGACTGGCGAATAAATCACGTGATAACTAGCCGGATTTAAAGTCACAACACTTATGACTAATTGATAAAACCTATTCCAAAGAGAAAGTTTTGAAGTAATCAATATTTTATTTATTTTTATCGCACTAGTTTTACAGTTAAATGTAATGTGTGAAATGGAGATGTCACTTAGATTTCTTAAACTGGAAATAATACAGTGTGACTTGAACAAGGAGTTCAGTTATTAATGAACTGAATGCCTAATGCAAATTTTAAAACAGAGAGCAATTGTGTTGTGAACAGATTTTGTTAAAGGAATGTATGATTATTTACAGTAAGTTTAAAAGATACAAGTGTTTCGTCGGTGAAAATTTGCGAATTCTGTGATAAAGTAATTATGAATGTACTAAAATTTACAACCACATGACTGATCCACTAAATGAAGAGGAAGTTCGAAAGGAACTCCTACTCTCTAAACGCTACAAATCACTGGGTTCAGATGACTTACCTCTGGCCCTTTCTAAAGATGGTGGTGACTTTTTGGTTATTTGCCGACGCTAGGACTGGTTGGAAAAAGCGGAGAGGTGGTCGGTATATGACATGGTGTCGTAGTATGATAGCTGAGGGCTGGCTTCTGTTGGTCCTTCACGACTCCTTGGTTGGGGTCCGAGAGATGGTGCAACACAGTGGCTAGATACGTTATCAGATATGGCTCAGAATAGAAGCCAGTGGCGATCCAACTGTAACCTTCTTTTACTTTCTTCATAAACAGTGACCGTAACTTCTTTAACTGTAAGAATTCTTTCTGGGTGTACCTTTTTGTTTCCCCCATTATTATTACTATTTCACTACCATACGCCAATTTGTGGTCATTATTGTTCCTTTTTTTCTTTTTACATGCACCTTACATCATCTATCTCTTCCCATTCTCATTATTATCGTACTGCACATTTGTATCTGGTGCTCCCTTGTACCAATATTTATGTGTTCAAATAAATAAATACAACCAGATATTTTTCCCAGTGTAGCTATGAAATTATCAATACTAGGTTTATTCTGTGACAAACTGTTATATGCTAAGATACTCAATTTGTATAATGTACATTTGACAGCCATTTATTTACCTTGAAGAACAAGACTAGTTATAACAAGAGGAAGATAACAAATATTTAAAACTACCATAGATTTAACTATAAGACCTGAACTTCCTTGTAGTCAGTTTGATCATTGTACAGAATGTGGACTACAGAATAAGGTTGATGAGGATGTATAACAAGTCGACTGGAGGAATATGCGAATGAATAAGCAACCGCTTCGTGGTAAATATACGTGTTTTGTTATTTTCGTGAACCTCGAGAAATTTGCTGACATGTATTTATTACTAACTCACATTTTATAGTTGCAGAAATGAAGTGTCTAGTCATTTCTAAACTACTTTTTGATTTCAAACAAATTAGCTGGAACTAATCCCAGAAAAAAATTATTTCGGAGGAACTCATATAACTGTAAATATTAGCACCATACATAAATACCGCACTAACCTCATGATGTAAGCCACCTTGAACCGGATTGTGTGTATGTACTGGTATCAAGAAATCACATGGGATTAACCGTGTGCCTTGATGAATAAGTTGATAAAATGCATGTTGACCATTTGTTCCTGGTTCACCCCAAACTATGGGACCAGTGGAATAATCAACTTCTTTGCCATCACGTCTAACAAACTTTCCATTCGATTCCATATCACCTTGTTGGAAATATGCAGCAAAGCGTGACATATATTGATCATATGGTAGAATCGCTTGAGTTTCTGCCCCATAAATATTGATATACATTACACCTAACACAGCTAGGATGACAGGAAGCTATAAAGTAAGATATATTTATTAGTTTGCAAAACTACTTGTATAGTTAGATATAAAAATATGACACATGGTAAGTGAACATAGGACTTCAGAGAACAAAATGTTACGGTTAACATGTTTACTTTTAATCAGAAAGCCATAATTAAGTAAAACTGAACATGAAGAGATGGGGTAGTATAAAAACTGAAATCTGGGACATATCTAAATGGCCCGTTAACTTTAAAAATTTACAAACGACGAAGAGTATAATAACAACTTATGAATCATTTTTAACCTTCAAACTATGCAACACATTCTTATCCGACAAAAAATATACATTTTCAAAGACCAAGCTAGGGAAGGATAAAGAAAATTTAAAAACGTACAAATATAAATGAAGCCAGTAGTTCGTCCATCAAATTGTTGACAAGTAGCCATTGCTATGTCGAATAGCTGTTGATTAAAGTTTATTCATCTATTTTTTGACAAAATCTACTTAGAAAATATTAGTGCCACTGAAAGATTTACATCATTGTCATAATTAGTCTATATTTAACACTATAAGGGAAAGAATACTATCGAAATCTTACTCCAAAAACCATTAATTTGGTAGTTTTCCTTCAAGTAGAGGCAAACTATCTTATGTACAACCACTGTGAAGGATTATTATTCAGTATTTGAATAGTTATGTTATAACTCCTCGATCAATTCCAGTAGAATTGTATCATGTACAATGATATGATTGAATTCCATCATTAGTGTCACATGCCTCATCACAATGTCTTCTACATTGGAAATTCTACACTTATATTACTCAGTACAAAGGAACACTTCATGGTCATTCTGATTATACTCTGTCTACCCATGTATTCACTTACCAGTAGTATCCATAATATCTTCACTTTAGCAGGTGGTATCTGCTATACTAAATAACAAGCACTCATTTTAGTGTCATAACTTACGTTGGTCACCGAGCTTCGTTGATTCAGGTTATATTATCTCTGATCATCATACATTAAACGTCTTATATTGACTTAGATCATGACCTCATCAACAAAATATCTGGGATTATAGTTTACAAACTATTGATACATTTACTAATGATGGACAGATACTCGAAACAAAAATAAAGGTAATGTGTTATTTATTTGTATCTATTTGAATATAAGTTTAGTGAATTACTATCGGATTTTTGATAATAAAATACTTAATCTACACATTTATATAATCACACATTAATAAATATTGACGAATAATTGCATAAAGTAACAATAAATATTACATACATCATACTGATTTAACAAGCTTACTGACTAAAGTTAAATATATGAAATATATGTTAACGATTCGTATAATATGATAAAGTCAGCAGTTTGTAAATGGGACAATGGTTAACTAACAATTATTTTGTTAAATTAAACTTAAACTAAATTTTATATATTCCAAACTATATTAACACATTGTATCAATATCAAAAAACACTTATTCACATTCATATTGAGGTTGGAGTTAATGAAGTTTGAAATAAGTTAAAAGACTGAAAGTTAGTAATGCAAGAAAATGACAAGTGGGTTTGAATGAATGCTCATACAATACATTATTGAGGTGTGGCCCCCTAAGAAAACCCCGTGCTTCGGTTTGGGTGCCCAGACATTATTCCAGACCTCACACAAATCGAATGATGAAGTGTGGCGCATATATATTTGGTGCCTCCTTGTGCTAATGTTTATGTGTTTGAATAAATAAATAAAGATTAAAATACATTAGCTCATTTTAATTCCGACAAACATGTTTTTATACCTAAACACGAAATTCATGATTTGAGTTCCTTGTTTCACTGTAATAGCATTATTAGGAAAATAAGTTTTGGAGAAGTTAACTATTCAAATATGATCTGAAACTGAATTCTTTCTTAATGCACTGGATTCTCTAGTGTGAAAGGAGAGTTTTAATAGAATGTAACAACTCATCACTTTCAATAAAGTATTATTTCTTCACTAACGAAAATTGTGATCATCAGCTGGTAGATTATTTAAACCAACGTCCTGAATCAGAGTTCCAACAATATTAACACCGTGAACAAGGAACACATTGCATCGGGAATTGGAAGCAAACATCAAAATAATGAATAGAATCTGGGAAGGATTGTCCAGGACAGAGTTCGATGGAGAATGCTGGTGGGCAACCAATGCTTCTCCATGAGTGGTAATAGACATAAGATTATCTATCAAAGATAATCTATTAAGAACTAAGTAACGTACTAAAACATGTATGTTTTTATAACGCTTTGATACCAATTTCGGCTGATAAAAATGAAACAATGAAACAACCGGAGAGAATTTTGCGTAAAAGAAGAGTGATGTGGAATTTAATTTTAAAAATGGTCATCTTCATATTTGAATTTTGAAATACTGTTTATTTGGTTGGTTTTGTGCAATGCTGTTTTGACTACTTCTTAATCCTTCGCTAATGTAATAGTTGCAAGAATGATATAGTCGTTTTTTGTCAAGTGAATTTCAAGAAAAATGTCTCGCTTCTTTAAAAGCCACTAGTTGGGGGTTATTTTCAGTATATTTTAGATGATTATAGAATATAATGACTTTATAGTCATTACACTATTGTATAAGAAAAGCGTTACTTATAATTTATGTAGTTTTAAACTGACTTTAATACAAATACAAATTTTGCACTCATATTTGTCCTTATTATTTAGGAATATTAGTTCACATATAATTTACTCGGAAGAATAACAATTGAGAGCAGCATTAATAAAGAAATTTATAACATAACAACTTACGTTTTTATGTAATGGCGTTTCTTTGAAGTGTTTATCCATTTCATGAGCTCCTTCCAACAATTTAATGAAATTCTCCATACCTTAGTAGATAAAGAAAGTCTATACTACTACATATGCGCAAGTTACAAGCATACATGTTGATTGTTAGTGCTTAATCAATAAACGAGACAAAAATAAAAAGCAATGGGTCAAGGCGATTTATCTGGTGAATATTCGGTTTGGTGAGAGATTAATAAAATAAATGTCTCGAACAAAAGTAAACAGTCACCAAGACTTCTATAGCTTGGTTGATCATGGAGAAAACGTTGGTCGCTTATCAAAAACTTTTAAAATTTACAACAGCCCAAATTAATTCTATGTAAGGATTATTTTGGTTTAACATCGAATTTTATGAATACAAATTCATGGCAAACTGTAAATGAAATGTATTGTTTGGGAGTAAATTATTGTATTCTATGTGATGAACATTTAATTCTACACCGAAAGTGTTTAGAACATTAAATCACAACTTAGTACGAAGAGATACAAAATATTAGTTTAATAACCAAGCGGATTATAAATTATAACTACAAGACAACTTACCTACGTAAAGAGCTATAGATAAACCTATGGCAGACCATAATGAGTAACGACCTCCAACCCACTACAACAATTAAAAGAGGACAGGAATTTCAGTTCATTCATAGAATATAGAAGGATAAAAGTTGCGACGAAGGAATTTTTCAAATTGACGAATGTTCATATAAATTATTTTGAAGGTAACTGAGAGTATCTAATTTACTCGTATTCATAATTATAAGACAACTAAATGGCACTACTAAACAACTAATCTGAGAAATCTAAGCCGGTTTCAGACCTGATTGAGAAGTTAATGACCAAATAGTTACCCTTAGACACAGATATATATGCCAAGCCCCGACTGTAGTCGCTATCTCCAAAATAAAGGCAACATTTAATTCCACTGACTGACAGGCTTTGAAGAAATTTTTATCATTGAAAGGAATTCAAAAGAGGGATATAAACCGTTTTTTGTTTAAATACTGTTAGTCATTCAGAGTTTATGGATGCATGTCATTTGAATTGGCTCCGATGAGAAATGATGATTGTATTGTGAAACTTTGGGAAACAATAAAAAAACAAAATCGTGCGTTTGACAAGGAACCAAAGCCTTATTTAGTACACAGGCCTGGCTACTATAAATATATATCGACGGCTTAAAGATACTATCGAAATTACAGAAATACTGAAATAGGCAAGTTACTTAAGAAACTCTCAGGATAATATTCATAGTACTTTAGGGTAGACTTACATCCCAAAACTCAAACATGTTTTCCGGTGCTATGCCAAATTTGCAGACTTCTGTTGCATTAGTTGATAAGGCGACAAAGTGCTTGGCCACGTGAGAAACCTGTAAAAGCAGGTAAGAGATAAACAACTTACATTACTGTTATAAATACCATATAATGTCACTTTTAAGTATTATGTTGCATCAAATCTATGAAGTATTATACTCAACCAACATCAGATAAAGAATCCCCTAACGGCGAAAACTGATTACTTGAAAAGGAAATTTAACGGAGAATCCTAATACATCACCGGTCGTTACCTACATTTTTCGCATGTTCTAAGAACCATTCTTTGGCAGAGTTCGCATTGGTCATCGTTTCAATGGTAGTGAAGGTCTAAAAAGAAAAAAAGTATTTGGTTAGAACAGTTACACAAGCTATAAAATTAAAATAAGTGTGACGATCTAAGATAACATCCAGATCAGAACACAAACAAGAGACAAAACTTGAGTTCCAGCCACCAATGGTTTTATGGAGAAATAGAATTGGTCGATTGCCATTAACGTAAACCCCGGTAAAAAATATGCTGCCCAATTTGAAATACCACACTAACAAAGGAATAGAAATGATGTAGCAACAATAATGTTGAGAAAAAACTGAGGACTGGGAATGCGGGTCAAGGGAAAGGAATGAAAAAATAGAACCTACGTTACATGGGTCCGTGTCACTGTGATTTAAGGTGAACCATGCTACTCGTCTCCAGACAATGAACGCAGCTATCACACAGACTTCAACAAGGTAGTCTGCATCTGCTAACATGGTAAACTAACCGTTAATGACCACATGAACTGACACATTTCGGTTTGACCGCCCTTAGTTGTTTTTTCAACCTACTCCCACACTGGCCCACAACGAGCATCCAAGGTATTGATTCAGCATACGTCACACACGTTCTAAACGCCTTAATCGATGAATATTTGAAACCTCAACAACGCATTTTCCACTTTTGGCTAGGTTATTGGAAAACAAGTAAAGGTTTAATAACAATATTTCAAAATTATGTAACGAGTATGAAGTGTCAGACGCTCAGAGGATACCTACCTTGGAGGCGATGATAAACAGAACTGTCTCTGAATTTACTTTCTTTAATGTTTCCGCAATGTGTGTTCCATCTATATTTGAAACAAAATGTACCCGAATATGTGATGCATAAGGTTTTAAGCATTCTGTAACCATGACTGGACCCTGAAAAATCAAATTAAACAAAACTAAAATATCGTACTGCTAGAATTTTATAAATCATATTTAACATACCAAAACCGATTAAAGCAAAATACCTAACTATTTCATATTTATAGAGAAGGCTAAGAGATCCTCCAAATGTGATTGAGTGGATGATACTACACGTTCTTGATACCTGGATAAAGAGGAATAATTTCTGGCTGTGGTAACGTGTCGCTTGACTTTCTTAGTTACACTTTCACAACAGAACACTGATGACAATTTCAAATACAGAGTGGGAATCATGTTTGCAAAATACTTAAAAACAAAGAATATTTAAGCGAACAATTGTTTTCGATAACGTCATCATCAGGCTCTACAGTCATAAGTCCATAATTATTGTGATGTTTTACAAAGGCCAAAATAAGTCATGCATTAATGAATTTGGCAATGTTGTGTTAAAAAGGGCGAACCTTTGCATCTATTATAGTATAAATACTTCAAAATTGTGTTATTTGTAAATTAGTAGGTCATTTAATAAGGGTCAGAATGATTTGCAGTAAAGTGTCAAGTCACGATCAATATAATATAACGAAATAAAAGATCGTGTGAGTAAAATGCATAGTATAAGGATTTAATCTTGTTACTCGAGGTAGTAATAATAATATTAACATTGTGTGAATATAATTTATAATAAGAGAGGTAGCTACGAAAGTAGCAACAAATAAGAACTGTTTCAATAACGTTCTTTCAGTTAATAAATTCACCACGAAAAGGAGAACGACAATGGTATAGCTTTCCTCAATGTCCTACTTTTTAGAAGGATAGACGATTCCATGGAAAGTAATGTATTTGGAAATAATACATGAACAGGTAAGTCGATCCATTTTTTCAGCTTTACAGCTCTTTACTACAAAATAAATTTGGTTAAATGTCTCAACCACAGAATTAAACTACTATTCTCTGAAGATAGTGTAGATAACGAAGTAGATAATCTAAAGAACACATTACGGAACAACAACTGTCCAGGTAATTACGTTAGGAATTTTCCATTAGAGGTAATGAAAAAGGAGCAAACTGACACGGTCAGTAAAAACCTCCGTTACCTGAAAGTGAGCTTTAAATGGGACATAGCTGGTGATATTTTAACACGTCAACTCAAAACATCTGCTGATAGGACGTTTCACGCTACCAAGTTACATGTAATCTACATCGATTAACAGCGCCATTCTTTCTCACTTGGTGGACGGTAAGCATCATGTCAAAATAGATGGAGCTTTCTCTGTTTTTTATGCCAAGTTCCAAATAATCTACCTAAAAGAGCTACATAACGGCTACTCTACATCGCTGAATCCATGTGGATCTACTCCAAAAAAACTGAACTTATGTGTACAGGAGTATAACAAGCATCTATGTTTACTTTGCTCCGCGACTGGATCACTGGATACCTATATTGGATATTATAAACCTCTTATTCCTCTCCCTATTTCCTTTTGTGTTTACATCTTCCATAAACTTCACAATCATTTGTCCCAATTCACACGAATTCCTTTTTATTGCAATTGCCTTGATAACACCTCTCTTATTACAAATTATATTCACACAATGTTAATATTATTATTACTACCTCGAGTAACAAGATTAAATCCTTATACTATGCATTTTACTCACACGATCTTTTATTTCGTTATATTATATTGATCGTGACTTGACACTTTACTGCAAATCATTCTGACCCTTATTAAATGACCTACTAATTTACAAATAACACAATTTTGAAGTATTTATACTATAATAGATGCAAAGGTTCGCCCTTTTTAACACAACATTGCCAAATTCATTAATGCATGACTTATTTTGGCCTTTGTAAAACATCACAATAATTATGGACTTATGACTGTAGAGCCTGATGATGACGTTATCGAAAACAATTGTCCGCTCAAATATTTTCCATTTTCGAATAATCTATTTGTGAATGGTGGAAATAAGTTAATTAGATAATGATTTGATGGAATATTATATAGCATACGTATAGTAGTATATTATTGTCAGTAATGTGTGGCGCATATATATTTGGTGCCCTCTTGTACCAATATTTGTGTTCAAATAAATAAGTAAATAAAAATTGTCAATAATAAGTAGTATGTTGAAATATCACATTTAAAACGATATATATACATGGCATGTAGGTCATTTCATGTGACAAGATTTATAACAATGTCATGTGTTGTGGTGTTGTGAAATGTACATGTAGGTCAAAAGATTTCCATGTATGAAAGAAACACAATTGATTCAATATCATTCTGGCTAACCGACGTGTCTTTAGATTTCGGTATTTTGTCAGGTTTTGTTGCGAGCACTGGAAGCGATTTCGTTTGTCGTGTAGGTTTAGGAAGGAAATTTGAAGATAGTTCCTACTGTCAATATGCAGATCAACAAAGAAAGCAGGTGTTACTTTATCGATTTCAATAGTGTTAGTCTTACCTTGCTTGTTAACGGTAATGAGTTAATTGCTTTTCCTTACAACTGTGTAGCCCATCGTACACTATTTGTGAAGGGAACGGGATGTTGTCCATTTTCACGAAAAGACGTACGTGATCAGCCAGTTGCTGAACGCGTGTTCATCATTGTCATACAATACGTGATTTCTTCAGTTCACTCATAAGTTATATGGGGCATTACACATAACTAACTACACCAAGTGGAACACTTATGTAAGGCAAAGAACTTTACAGGTAACCTTAAATTAGTTATATAAACCAACTCAGCTGCCCAACATTCAATATCTTGTTTAATTATCAATCTCAGCTTTAAAATAACCAGCGATTTTGCGTCCCAATTATTAATATCCAGTGCAGCAGTGAGGGAACCTTCAAACTCCCAATGTAGACTTTCTATCAAATCGTTTGATGTTGGATTATATGGTTTGAATATTTGATTCCTAGTGATTTATTAAGTAGTTGAAGACAGTTTTCCAATTATGCTTCCCTGTCAGTCGTAGTGACCGTTGACGCTTCATAATGAGAAATCTAGCGTTTTGGCTACTTTTACTACTAAGACGTAAATAAGAGGAACAGCTACGAGGCAGTATGTACATTGGCCTATGAGAGAAAAGAAATTAAACTCATTTGATAGAGATGATGGTATATACACGTTGATATTTTCGAATCTAGTGCTGAGGTTACGAAAAGAACTGAGTTAAAAATTGGTATGGTGATGAATTCTAACTAAGTATTTGACTGCTAGAAAAAATTGACAATTCCCTTTAAAGGTGTAGTGTTACGTCTGTTTGGAGTTTAACCTTGAGGAAGTCAAACGGTTGACATTTTCTATTTGTTTGATGTGGCAGTGGAGCTTTTATGATTATATCAGAGGTATCCTTTGTGTTCTGAAAAGTCCTAGTTAGTTCTACGCAATGGTGCCTGATTCTTTAGAAGATTCCAAATGATTTTAAGCCAATAGATGATTTTAGCTGAAAAGTGTAGAATACTTACGCAACCGGGAATGAAGTGGTGATAAAAATGGGCGAGTCTCAAGAAACGCTATCTATTTCGATGAGTTAGGGTGTACGTAATCGTGAGCACTAAATTTTCTAGCCCAAATCATTCCACTATTTGTATAACTATTAAAACAGGTATCTTTCACCAGTTCACCGACAAGTAGAAAAAACAAGCTATCGAGGTCATATAAGTGAATTCTAGTTACGTGGGCTAACCCTTAACAGTAAGAGAAAACAAAGCTACTTTATTACAGTCACTAACAAATTTCATTCAAAGCCCCGAGGAAAGGTGCTGAAATAGAGCATTTGATTCGATGCCTCATATAAGGACGCTTGGATGATTCTATGAAACTTACAACAGTGAGCAATAATAACTCCGGGTGTCAAAGGTGAGTGGAGTGGCATGAAGTTATTCAGTGGTTTTTTAAGATAATTTTTCGCAACACGTACTAACCATTCAACGTTTACTTGATTAGTAAATGTACAGTTAAAAATGAGATGTAGAAAAAGGTGAAACTCACAAGGTCTGAACCACCAATACCAATATTAACAACATCTGTTATTTGCTTCCCTGTGTAGCCTTTCCACTCACCAGATCTAACAGAATCGCAAAACTTGGACATGTGTTCAAGAACTGCGTTAACTCCCGGCATAACCTAGCTAAATGGTTATGTAAAAGAGGCAGTTACATCTTTCCCATCGACCATAATCGGGACGTTTGATCGGTTACGCAGAGCTATATGAAGGACGGCTCTATCTTCTGTGAAATTAATTTTTCTTCCTTCCATCATATCATCACGCATTTTTTCAACATTACTATCTCTAGCCTAAAATGGTATTAATAAAAACATATTGATAAACCAATTTGATAAGCTGGTCAAAATTTTGAGTGTCAATTAGGTTTTTTGAGTAGTCCAAGAGAATAGTACCGCCAGGAAGACTCAAAACCTGACTGGAATCGAAACAATGAAAATACATATAGAAGTAACCTGAATTCTGAAAATCTTTTAGGATCTGCAGCAAACATTTCTCGCATTGTTTGCGGGACTTTTTTGAAGTTCCGAACAAAATCATGTAACGTCGACATCGCAATTGTGAAGAGAATACGTGACCTAGCCAACAAAGTACCGCAGCTATTGAAAAGGGTGCAACGGACCCAGGAAAAGATTTAGGAAAACGTATAGCTAACAGTAATACATTGAAATAGATATGAATGATATGAATCGAAAAAGGTTATGTATGAATAAAGAGGGTCTAAAAATGGCTTTCACAACAAAATCGCATGTTGACTAATAAAATGACGACGATCCGAATTCCTCAATTTCGATACAAACTTTTATTAGTTTTGTGGAAATTTCGGAGAACCTGAAACAGCGGATTTCTGGTTTATACGACGAAAATTCAAGAATTTTCTGGTCAGAGGTTCTTCCTCAAAATCCTAAGTCATTTCGGGACATCAGCAAATCATTCGGATTAAATCCCAAAGTTTCACAAAAACTTCGCGGAATTTCACAGGAATCTGGAGATAGGGATAAATTTTACTAAGGGCGCTTTTTGGAACAACCGTCAGAAGTGTAATTCACTTTTTGGTTGACCCTGACGGCATGAATCGAAATATTAATCCGTTAGCGTCACTGAACAACTATCCAGGCCAATAATCCCATGCTGGGAAGAGCAGCATAACAGGAGTTTACAACATCATTACAATCTTCGAATAGCACACAATGGCAACCAAATCACAAGTAAATGACGTATAGTAGATTTATTTTAGAACCTAAGGTTAAGTGTGCATGTATTAAGCATGTAATTATGTCCACTCATAAATGATACAAATAGGCAATAGATACTCAATGTCAATGTGATCGCACATAAAGAGCCGCAAAGAAAGAAAAGATACTCCCTAATTCGTGGTTATGAAAGTTATTCAATATACATTTTGTTATACAACTTCTCCCTTAAAACATACGGATGCTGAACCAAACCCAACTCAAATTCTAAGAGATCTTAAGGCTAAAATTTTGGATGTCCCATCAAATCATACATTATTCGTGCAAAAACGTGTTGACGGACATTATAATCCAGTGAACTATTGTAATTCCGTTTTCGTCACAACACTGGCAGATTTACGTTCACAACGAAGTGTCAAAATATGGTAGGACCAGACAATAGTGGCAACAACCAATACTGGTTGATCTTTCAGTGGCTTTCCGTACCTGTTGGATAAGACTTCAAATTACGATTCTCTTGCATATACAGGAAACAAAGCGTAATTTCTGCGACTAGGATTAGTGAGATTTTGCTGAGTACCGTTATCAAAACCGAAAGGATGACATTCGTGGAGCAACTGCTTGTTTCAAATCTGGGAATCAGACGTTGACTAAGCTGGGTGTTTATATTAGCGGATGTTCGATACCCCACACAGATTTTTCGAATACATATAGTTAGCTTGTCGTAGTTAACAGAAGCCAGCTCATTAGTTGTCGTCCATAGCTACAGGTTTGTTTGAACTACCAGGTTCATAGTGTCAGTATAAACGCATCAATAAATGATGACATTACCTCTTTCGTCTGATAATACCTCGAAATATCAAACCACTTGCCCCGAAGACAAAGTTAAGGACTCAACAGCAATCTATATTATACAGTAAGGACAGCCAATGCGACACAGTCACGGGGGTCTGAGCCTGGCAGATTAGCTGCAGTAAATACAGGATTTCAGCTAATGATTTAGCTGGAACTGACTTCGCAATCAGACAGCTGTTTGGCACCTCTGCTGTGCATACTAGTAGAAAAGACTGGAGGTTGATGTCTTTGTGTTGATCAAGGGAGTCCGGACAACCTGATTATACCGAAGAGATATCCCGTCCCACAAATTAACAATTTTTGTTGTGGTTTTGCATTTACATAGCATTGGGTTTTTGAATGTATGATAAGTATAATCAAGCAGTGAAGCGATAAATGGATTGGTGAATAGTATTCATCGTTGCACTGCAATTTATGGTAATTATGAAGTGCGAGGTCAATATACGTTTTCATCGGTATTATGACCAGATTCACTGATTCATAACTTAAATTGTAGTATTACAATGACCAAAGGAAATCAGTAGTGGCTATGAAGAATTGATATGTGGAATCGTGCTTATATATGGTCACGAAGCTCAACGTGGCTTGTGTCATTGGAGGGAGATGCACCTGACCTCGTTTGTTGAGTAGCCCAACTAAGACATGAAATTACCAATAAGTACCATCTTGCACGATGAACGAGTGAAATCCTCTTTGTTATGACGTACATGAGATTACCATTGAGAGAACAGCTCTATAATATTTGTTCCACTTTGCAATGAAATGAAGATGCATAACAATTGCAGTAGTCGAGTGATATTTAAGAGCAATGGAGGTAGCATGCTGTTACATATATGGAGACAATCCGATAAGTTGAACATATTCACTGTCAATTGGCTGCAAAGTAGATAACATTCCCACTCATCTACATTGATACTGACCCTTTGAATTTCCTTGAAGACACTAATACTGGAAGGAGCTTATTAAGACATCCACAACAAAACATGTTACATTACAGTGTGCGAAGCATTCCTTCCAGCAACTAGCTAGCTTGGTGACTATACATTGCGACGTGTCAGCCTTTTATGCATACGTATCTTCTCGCGTCATCCTCAGTTTCTGGTTCCATTGTCTTTTAAAATATGCCGTTAAGAGAGACCTTGACATTATTATTATCAAGTCCTCCACATTCGGCATTTATTCGAGAATTATTGTAGAGTCTGTATGTAGAAGAATATCGAATGCTCCAGCTAGTTGATGCATGTATAAAAACATTTTCGTTCCTGTAGATTGGCCACTTATCGTATATTTAAAGAATGTAACTGTGTACGCCTTACTTTTCCTGAATGTATGAAGATGTTCGTTTTGTCGACGAACGCCTCATATTTGTATTCCGTTGAATTTTTCACAATCTTCGAACCCAATGAGGATAATGCTGCTGATCTTTGTATATTCAATCTTTTCTATTCTAGAGACCAGCTTATACGTTGGAATATTAGCACTTTATGTATGTCATTAACAACAAATATGAGGATTTCTTCGGCGGCAACGATGATTTAACACAGTTATCGTACGTTTTCAACTTCGGGTGGGGAAGACATGATACACAAATATAGAGCAAGATCAACCTCACTGGTGCGTTTTGGACTACAAGCGATGCATAATTGAAGCCAGTGGGTTGGAAGAAACGTATGATAGACCTATCACTCGATGGTTTTTGTTTCGATAACGTAGATCTTTTCTATATCAACGATGGTAACTTTGTTTTGGGATATTAGAGGCTCAGTCAATTCTGTAATCAACAGGACCCAAGCATTCCTAAAAAGGACTACATTTTGTCGGGTGATCTTATCCGCAACGCAACCATGTAAACTTAATGTACCGGTCATCTGTGCGTTCAAGTAACCACAGATTTTGACATTTCATAATGTATTTTTAATTAAATAACTAGATTATATGGCTAATTTTGATCTTTTTTTATATTTTTATTCGCCACGTTTGACTAAGTTACACTGCACGTCCATTGCATACTGGGATGATATCTCAAGTCATAGTGAGTTTATTCACATAGTTGATTGTTTCCAGATAGACTGTCAGTGCATGATTTTACTGTAGAAAGGTTTATTGTACTATAAACTATGTTTTTATGAACAACTGCTTGTTGTCGTCAGTCGGAAAGCAATATATATGTTCTTTGTCTTCTGTTCGGTAAGTTCAATTGGCCTATATTTCGTGTTTTTGTTTTATCGTCTTAATTATGTCCATTTAACTACTTTAAGCAATATGCCTGTGCAAATGAAACAATAACTATGACACTTGCTTAGTTTAGTATTCTTGGTTGTCGTATAATTCAGTTTAGTTGAAAGAATTATGGTATATACCATAATTCTTATATACTTAAGTATATACTTAAGTATAGTGCTTGAAGTCTGTAACGAAACAGATCAGCCTAGTAAGTAGAGTTGCCTGTTTCTGATGAGTATACTGATTCAAATCAGTCTGATTAAAAATAGGAAAAAAGTGCTTTTGGTACTGTTGCTGTCATACATTATAAGATAGCGATAAGTATGTTTGGTGTTTATTTCTAGATTGTACATCTATCACTGACCATATTTCATGATCACTGTCATTAAACAATTTCCCCAGCAATAACATCGGTAGCAGGATAGCTAAGTATCTGAGCTTTTATTTGCCCGTAGAAGAGCAGTATACAGTCTTAGAAGATGAGTGTTCTGTATTTCAATTAAATGCAGTTGGCTGTGGACAAATGTTAAGAATCTTGACAACTAGGACTTTTAGTTCATCAAACACTAACTCTGCTTGTATGTCTCCCTGTTAAACTAGATGCAGATACATGGTAATACTTAAATGAGAGCAAAATAATAAAAGCATTGAGATACGGTATTAAGTCCATGTTATGCTTTGCACAATAAATAGCTGACCTGACCTAATATTCATGAACTAAAGGTAAATCACAACTGCATAAATTCTTTGCTAAAATACATGTAATTTGGTTATTTATCTATTCCACATTTCTGACTAAATTCATTACTGTTTTCTCATTTAGAATGCAACAGGACTGAGTCTTCACAGATGTTAAGAACTGTTTCGCCCTTAGAACTATGGCCCTATGGATCTGTTTACGGGAGACCCAACTAACAGCAGATTATAAAAAGGATGCTGGATGTCCATTTTAATCTCACAACCACTTCCAGTACTTTTTGAGTTACTTCTTTTACCTTTTCGTTTGGAAAAAACAACGAAAACTGCAGCTTAACATTACAAATGCAACTTTTAGACTGGAACTTGGTTTAAACCTTTGTTTCATATTCGATTCTTAATGAAAGTTCTCGAATAAATTTTTGAACCTAATGCTACTTTGTTTTATCTACTTAATCGTTGCAAGAAACGTGTGATAATCGAGCCTCTCATCACCTAATTCATGTGTTCAGGCTTCCGTGTCTATTAGCAGGGGATCACCAAAACCCCCAAGCAGGAACCTAGGTATGTTAACAATAAAAGATCCAGTCGCCTCCCAAAGGACTCCTGGGAAGTCGCTTGGACTAGTTCGGCGAGCAGCGAATTCCAGCATTTGACAACTCTTAAGGAGTAGAAGTTGCGTCTACAGT